ATGTATGTATGTATGTATGTGTGCTACCATGGTTGAAGACCCTGAGGAGCACTATATCTCACTATGTTTCACAGATGGGTGACCAGTGCCATCCTGCATCTCAAGATGTTCTCAAAAGAAAACTCCTGGAGCTGAGATGGAGGCCATTGCGCGCCATCTGAGGTGCTGGCTGTGTGGCGGGACCAGGCTTACGTGGCAGAATGAATCGCATGGGCAGGGCCACAAGGAGATGCGCACCCACCCATTGGCAAAGAGTTAAAGATACAGTGATTTAGACCCACTTATCTTTGAGTGTGACCAAATTTCCAGTGGTAGTTTGAAGAAATGAATCCCATCAGAATTGTGGAAGGTACGTGCATGTCAGAATGAGAGAATGAGGGGCTCAGTCACAATTCTTGATTCAGCAGGCACAGCAACTAGCCTACTCACCAAATGTGTTTGTTCCTCAGCAAGTGGCAATTGTCATTTGGGTTCTCCCCCCACGGGATTCCAGTCTACAACAATCACAACGGTTCGCTCCGGCGAGCCTCGACTGGAATTCTTCGTGGCGGGAAGGTGACGTGTCCTCTTCAAGCATTGGGTGCTTCTTGTTCTTGATACCTTGATACTGTAGATATGTTCTTGTTGTGCAGCTATTAGACTAGTCTCATGTTGTGCACTCAGCAGCGAACTGGTGGTATCTTGTAGGAGTCTGGGCTCCCACGCCCTGGCGTCCGACGTCTCCATGCCCTGTGGAGGCTCCCGTGGAGCATGTTGGCCTTACGAAGTCGTCGAGGGCCATGACCACTGGGCTTCCTGCCAGCAGGGAGTGCGACAAACGAGCAAAGATGTGCGGAAGTTTCGATATGGCTGTGGCTCGCAATGAGACCTTCATACAGATTATTGGATAGACATGCAAGTCTTAGCCTTGCCAGTAGATCTTGGGGGTGTGCCCAAAATGCTTTGAGCCATGCCCAGATCGAGAGGCTGGCATTGGATGCATCACTTAAGTGCTCACGTTGCTTCTCCCAGGTTGACGGGAATGCAGACTCGGTTTGCTTTTGAGTTCTTCCCGAGGAAGACTACTTGTTGTATGTCATGAAGAATGACTCCGCGCCTTTGACCAATTCAGATGGCCCGCTTGTGATGCCCATGCGGTTGGGGCTCAAGGAGGCTCAAGGTTTCAAGGACGAAATGCAGAAGTCTTGGGTCCGTGGAAAGAATTTCTGACCAGTTCTCCGAACCCACGAGGTGGTGCGCCAGTTCGAAGCGGTGGTGGAGCTCGCGAGGGAGCCCGATCCACTGCTGCTCTACGGCGCGGTAGGAGGCGCAGGGAGGAAGGTGGAGGACGATAGTGAGGACTTGATTGGTGAGGACTCTATATTGAGGACCTTGGTTTATCCCAATAGCTCCAGCTGGTTTGAAGAAGTTCTCCAAACCAAGCGTCACTTTCCAAGGACTGCCTGGGCAAAGTGCATGATAGATGTTGCACCCGGATCGACCTTTGGAACATTGGAAGACCCGCTTGAACCGCCGCACCTCGGGTCCTCGGGTCCTTTCTGCACACTGTCGAATCATTGACTCATTATGGCGTAGTATGCCTCAGATCTTTGATTTCTATTGATCTCAGATGATTGATCTATGAACGATATTGATGATCATCATTGACTCTGTGAACGATATCTCTGAAGAAATCTCCGATGTTGGCATTCCTACAGAGAAAGGAACGCGGGTTGATGGATGAAGCTTACATTGCACCAGCTCATTGGGACACAACTAACCATGTTTTTGTAGTGCATTCAGCATGTAGCATGGTGTTGCAGGACAGTCCATGGCGGCTCTTCGGTCAGGCCGTGGCCCCTTCGAAAGTGGCAAGTTGTGCCCACCCTGTGGGGATTTGCAGCGGCAAAAGCTGGAGCAAGCGCAGCTCTTGCTGGTGGAGGCAGTGCAGATGCGTCATGTTGACTGATAAAGCACCCCTTGTGAAGGTGTAAACCATTCTGGGGGACTTTAAATCCCGTAGGCTGCATGCAACTGAGTGCTTTGCAGGATGTTTCTTTTACCAAATTATTCCATGCCCGTTGGCCCGAGGCTATCATAATCTATATCACCAAGCATGCTGCAAGCCACATCCCGGTCATATCCCCATGTCGATCCTTCGGAGTGGATCGGAGATAACACCTGAAGGATCTCGTCCGTCGTCCAGAAATCAATCCTTTCTTTTCTTCCATGGTTTTCTCTTTGAACACTCTCCACTCGGGCAGGAAGAGCTCTCCTTAATGCTTTTCGCTGAGAACTCCCCAAGGCTTGGGAGGAGGGCTGACGACGACGACTCCTTAAAGCCTCCGGCAACAAGGATTCAGACAGACAACCCACTGGTTGTGAGGATCCCGTTCTATCTTGTTACTTCTTAGGTCAAATTGGTCATCTAGAGGATGATTTGTCAAATCCCATTCTGCTTAGTAGCTCAAGATGAAAAGCCTATGACCCATGAAGTCCCGAGAGCACAAGGGAAGAACATGTTTGGAGCTTGGTAAGGCTTTTATAATCTTTTATATAGATGACGGCGTGTTTTGAGGCCTCCTCGTTCGAGAGAAATACATGAAGGCCCAGTGAGATTTTGGGATGAGCCAAGATGTACCACAGGCGCTTGCCATGGCCAGAGCAACACCATCCCGGCTTCGGGTGTTTGTAACGTGGGGTTGTCACCTAACATCACTGCTCACCATTCGAGAGGCCTTCATTTTGATCATTTTGGGGGGTTCGCCAGGTGTTTCACTTATCGTTTGTTTGTGCGCTTGCGGTTTGCAAAGATCTAGAGAGTAAAAACAGACTAGACAACGAGTGCTGTGCTGGGTTTGCTTTAGGGACCTGGTACTCTTTGGGCCACAGATAGACGTCTCCCTCACAGGCTGCCAGACAGACCTTGTTGAACTCTTGGACCTCCCTCTTTTCGCAGGAGCACGCCGGATGCGAGGCTTCGGGAACTGTGGAGCCATGTTTTTTTCAGCCCAAGATGCAATGTTGCCAGATGGGAGATTAGGTGCTCTTCACAAAAGGACCAAGGGATGTTTTGAAACTATTTTAAACAATAGGCTACTAGTAACAAGTGCATCGCTTCTAGTAACAAGTGCCGTACTAGTAGTAACAAGAAGCTAGTAGTAATTAAGTTTCATTAGAATTCAATTTAATTCTAATAGGACCAAGGGGTGGTTCGAAACCTTACTTTCAAGGTCATTGACTTGATTTGTAGCTGCTTCACGGATTGATGTTCTACTCAGCCAGTGCAGCGCGAACTACCAGAGCAATTCGCGGCATTCGGCGGAGCTAGCCCGATTGTGGTTTAATATGTGTGTTGGTTTTTCCATGTGTTTTCAATTTATGGTGAGCAAGAAGTGTATGATTGAAACATGCATTAACAACATGTAACATGTAACATGTGTGCATGCATCTACTGATCGATTCAGTGCTGTGCATGCTGTGTCCCCAAGCAGAAAGGACCCGGAGCCGACCCGAAGCGATTGCTTCGCCGCGGGTCGTTGGTGGTCCGACAGGACTCTCGAAGCTGCTGATTCATTGCAGCTTGCTGACCAGTAAATTTATGTGAAATCTCTTCTGGTTTTTGAAAGGGGCCTAGCAAGCGTATGCTGGAGTCGCTGGAGATGAAGACTATTGCATCTAATGCATTGAAGACAGCAAACATGTTCACGTTTGCTTGTGCAATGAACCTTTGGAACACTTTCTTGTCATACTTTTCGGAGGTTATTAAAGTCTCATCGAGAATGTCCCGTTTCCCGACAGCCTTCGATTCAAGAGTTTTCTGGAATACGACGAATATGTTCCAACGGATACCATTGGCTGATATTGAATTGGCTGTGCACTGTTTTGCATCTATTTTATTTGTCTATTGCCAGGTGCAGGTCCTCCTGTGTATTTTCTGATTTGTTTGGGGTCCGCCCTGATTAACTGGTTGCTTCCCACCCTCAAAAGAAGTAATCAAGAAATATATAGAATAATGGTTGATTAGATATATACTGCAAGGTAGGTCATTTAAATGAACACTATTAATCAGACTAGGTCCTACTAAGGTCATTCTGAAGGCATTGAATATTAACAAAAACATGTCCAGAAACATGGTACCGCTGCACCCAAAGGGTCGAACTTTGCTAGGCCTCCCAGCAGACCGAGCTCACGCCTGGTGGAGGTGCGGAAGCGGCCAGTCCTGCCGGCACTCCATATCAGATCAAGAGGATCAAGAGGCACAAAGAGATCCAGACCTGAAGCACTCGATGTTCTCAGCACTGCCTGGTTTCCTGAATTGTCCAGGCCTCTCATTACTACAACTCACTTGTCTCAGTTGTGTCACATTGTGTTTTTACAGGCAGTGGTTCTGGCATTGAAGTGAATTGCGAATGGCTGTCAAAAGAAAACACAGCACTGGTCCTTGGTGTCTTATTGGGTGGATCTAGTTTAGTTGCTTATAATGTGAGGAATCAGCAGCTGCAAAGAGCTGTGCAATGAACAGGCCTTGGAAAATGATTGGCCACACAAGAGGCAGGCACAATTTTTGTAAATAGGTGCATGACAGGATACGAGAAGATCATGTTTGCTCCTTGTTTCTCGTAACCTACGGGAAGATGGTGTAGCTGAACACCTCATATATATAATATATATTGGCTGGCCTCCATGTTTGCATGTACAGCCCATAAATACTCCGCTAGAGTACTGCAGACACGTGACTCATGACGTGTTTTGGCTCAAGGTGAAAAGGCGTTCCGAAACGTCGAAACCTCGTTTTCATGGTAGCGAAAGGGTCCGGTGAGAGTGACAGGGACCGAGCACTCCGCCTAAAGGAAGAAAGACACAGTAAAGTCGAGAGCTCCGAGGAGGAGGAGCTGGGATCCTCGGGAGCGGCAGCTTCTGCCGCCCCGAGTGGAAAAGAAGAAGAAAGGAAAGGAAAAGAGGAGGAGAAAGAGCCTTTGCCAGCCACATCAGCGGCGGATCCAGCCGCAAGCACCACTCCAGCGGTTGAGAAGACCGCAGAAACAACTTCAGCGGTTGAAAGGACCGCAGAAACAAAAGAAGAGGGGCCGGAGATCGGACGAACCGTCCGCAGCTGAAAAGGTGCGAGAGCAGCGCCTTCAGGGGCTGAGATTGGGAAACCATGGCATTGGAACAGCAGATCCAACAGTTGTCTGATATGGTTTTGCAACTCCAGCAAAACCAGGCACGTTTGGAACAAGAGAACCAGGTATTGAGAGAATCCCAAGGTGGGGTATCGATGTTGGCTTCAGCAGTAGGAGAACTGGCTAAGAGCCTTGAGAAAAAGGAAGATAGACGAAAGTCCCAAATACTTATGGACACCAAAGGTTTGGGACGCCCTGAGAGTTTTGGGAATGTTGAAGGGGATTTCCGAAAGTGGGCCAGGTGCATTGACAACCTGTTCATAACTACCTTTGGGAGAGAGTTCATTGAAGTTCTTGAGTATATTTTGGAGCAGGAAGACGCGATTGAAATGAGTGCTATGGAGTCCGCGTTTGGGACTGGTACCATAGCAGCTATCGATGATCTAGAGGATAAAGCTGATCAAATTCATCGCGTCCTCCTGACCCTGACCTCAGGTGAAACAGAGGATTTGATGGTAGGAGCTTCGAATGGATTTGAAGCATATCGACGGGTTCACCGTCGTTGGGATCCCCGAACCTCGGGACGGAAGCGCAATATACTTCGAGCAATTCTCCAACCTGAACGAGTCAAAACGTGGTCCGCGGTGAGGCCAGCGATCGAACAGCTCGAAGAACTCATCAGGCGGTACGAGTCCCGGAGGAGTGCCGCAGGAATAAGGGAGACTCTATCGGACGACATCAAGTCCGCTTCATTGGAGATGCTGGTACCCCCAGATTTGGAGAAACATCTTTTGTTGAACAAGAGTAGATTGACAACCTATTCATTGATCAAACAGGAGATTGAACTTGTCATTGAATCATCTCTCACATCAAAGTCATCTGTTCCAAAACCAGGTTCATCGAGTTCTAGTTATCAAGGACCTCAACCCATGGACGTCGATTCGATCGGACAATGGATTGCAAGCCTGGTCAAAGGAAAAGGTAAAGGAAAAGGTAAACAGGTCAAAGGTGATGGAAAGAAAGGCTCAAGAAAAGGAGGTTCAAGTAAAGGCTCAAGTACGGCTCAAGATATCACCTGCTACAATTGCGGTAAGAAGGGACACCGAGCAGCCGATTGCTGGAGCAAGAAACGGCCGGATGGAAAAGGCGATAAATGGTCAGGTTCAGGCAAATGAGATAGGAGTGGCAAAGGTGGCAAAGGCAGTAAAGGCAAAGGTGGAAAAGGCGGCAAAGGTAAAGCCGCAGGAAGTATGGAAGAGATGGACGATCCGGATGATGGCATTGAGCCAGCTCCGGAGGCAGATGTCGGAATGCTCATGGCAGACTTGAGTGGAATTGGAATAGCGGATACTTCATCCGCCGAAGAATGGATGAAGTTTAACCTGGACACTGGAGCAGCCCAGACAGCCATCCCAAATGGCTGGGAGGACCGAGTGGTTGTGAAGGCAACGGGGTTGTTTTCAAGACTGCATCAGGAGAGTTGGTGCCCAGTCAGGGCATTGGAACCTTTGAGGGGTTCGACGAGAGCGGCAACAAATGCCGTGTGAAAGGCTCAATGGCCGATGTTCACAAGCCATGAATTTCAGCATCCAAGTGCTTAGGCTTTGGAAGGATTGCAGTTCTTGATGTGAATGGCGGAAACTTGATTCCGCAAGGGTCCAAAGTTGGAAAGGCTGTTCAGGCGATCCTGGAGAAAGCGAGCGCTGCAGAGCAGCGAAGTTGGATCCCTGTGTACCAAGAGCAGGGAGTGTACAACTTCTACTTGAGAAAACCAGGGTATAAACCGACCAAGGAATGCTGTGGCATTGCAGAGTTGAACGCCGCAGGAGAAAGAGGAGATGCCTCTATGGATTCAGGCCGACCTGGTCCAGAGGGGCGAGAAGAGGATGATGAGTTGGAATTAGTTGATGAGATTGAGAAACCCATCCAGATAAGAGCACCGGAGGATCCAACTCCGGCTGAGATCGAAGAGCACGAGGCGACAGGCCATGTGCAGTATCGGAATTGGTGCCGGCATTGTATTGCTGGACGGGCTGTAGGACAGCCGCATCGGACGAGGTCCGAGGAACAGAAGGCAAAGAGCCTTGCGCCCACAGTGGCAATGGACTATACGTTCATGTCACGAGGCGGTGTGGAGGACGAGCGAGTAAAGCCGATCCTCGTGGTGAAAGATGAGAGGACACAGTCCTTAGCGGCGACCTTCGTGGACTCGAAGGGAGCAACGCCGTATGCAGTGAAGTTCGTGGCGAACTTCTTGAAGAACTTGGGACACCGCAGGGTGGTTCTCAAGTCGGATGGCGAGCCATCCGTGGTAGCCTTGAAAGAGGCAGCAGCGAAAGAAACCGGCATAGACTGGGTTTCGGAAGAGTCGCCAGTAGGAGACCATCAAGCGAATGGTCTGGCAGAGAACGCCTGCAAGGACTCAAACGTCAAGTACGAGTCCTCCGCAGCGCGTTGGAAGAGAAGCTCGGTAGAGAGCTCAAAGATGATGATCCTGCATTGGCATGGCTGCCAAGGCAGGCGGGAGACCTGTTGAGCAGGTACAAAAAAGGTCAAGATGGCAGAACGCCTGAGGCCAGAAGATGTGGAAAGCAGTGGCGGAAACCCGCCATAGCTTTTGGTGAACGCCTGTACTTTAGAGAAGTAGGCGAGGGAGTTCGCATCCTGAAAGAAGGACGCTATGTGGGTCACCATGGCCGAACAGGATCCATTTTGGTAATGACGGCCGATGGCGTGCGCAGAGGCACAGGAATCCGGCGGCTGAGTTCAGCCGACCGCTGGGACCCAAGCGATTGGGACCTTTTGCGGGGCTTACCGTGGGAGCGCTCCGCGGCAAGGCCTGCCGGTGAGCAACCACCACAACAGAGGCGAGTGTACATCAGGAGAGAAGATGTGCACAAGCATGGAGCCACAGAAGGCTGCCCAGGATGCAAGTGCATCTTGGAAGACAAGAGGACGACCTTGCCGCACACAGAGGCGTGCAGAGCAAGGATCACCGAAGCAATGGAAAAGGATGAAGCTGGGCAAGCGAGACTTGAAGCCCATGCAAAGAAGAGGAAAGAACGGCAACAGCTTGACACTGTGAAGCCGAAAGTCGTGGCCGACAAGGACACCGACATCACGGCCGAAGACGCGGCCGGAGAACCAGAGAAGAAAGAAGAAGCAAAGAGCGCGGGATCGGGAAGCCCGCCGCCAACAGCGGCGGAGGGTGAGAAGACCTATCCCGATGACCCGAAAGAGAGATATGAGATGAAGAGGCAAGCAGCCGAGATAGAGAAGAAACCAGTGGCGAAAGCCAAGGTAGCAACAGAGCCCAAGAAGAGAACAGGAGAACTTGGAATAGATCCACCCGGGGCAAAGGTCAAGCCGAATCCAGCCCAAGGAACAAAGAGGACGGCAGAGACTGCCGTAGAAGACCTTGATCCCAGAGTGGAAGAGAGTCCAAAGAAAACGTCTCAGTTTTCCCAGTTTTCCCATGTTCCAGAAACACCACCAGCAGGGTGGAAGCCAGATGCAGCAAGCTTGGTAAAAGAGAAGGAGATCGCAAAGCAGCATCTGAAGAAGATCATTCAAGGAACCTATGAGGCGAATGGCATCGAGATCACTGAGCAAGAGATCGGAGACATCGCGCATTTGAGTATGCAGATGTCAGCAGTAGATGTCATGGAAATCTACTCGCCCAAGAGGTTCATCGCGCTTGCAGAGCGGTACAAGTTGCGACCGGGTTTTGCGATCGACTTGAATGAAATGAAGAAAGATGGAACATACTGGGACTTGAACAAGTCCGAAGACGTCCAGGAGGTGCACGACATCTTAGAGAGAGACGAACCGGCTCTCTTGACTGGTTCGCCTCCATGCCATATGTTCTCACAGCTCCAGAATCTAAACTGGAGGAACATGGCGCCAGATGTCAGGAGGAAGAAAATGGACGAAGCCGTCCATCACCTTCATACGAGCGTAGAGCTGTATGTCAAGCAGCATCGCTCTGGACGCAAATTCCTCCATGAGGCACCATGGGCCGCGACCAGCTGGAAAGATGAGAAGGTTGAGGCCTTAGCAAAAGAAGATGGAGTGTTTGTGGTGAAAGGTCCAATGTGCAGGTGGCAGATGATGGCACCGACCGAAGAGGACTCCAAGGCACCGGCTATGTGAGAAAGGAGACCGGCGGTTGGATGACCAACGATGAAGGGTTGGCCCGAGTCTTGCAAGGAGTCTGCTCGAATGAATCGGGCAAAGGACCATGGCACCGACACATCCATCTGATCGGAGGCATTGCTAGGCAGGCAGCGGTATACCCACCGCAGCTTGTGAAAGCAGTGCTGAGGAGCCTGCGTGACACACTAGCAGAGAAAGGTGAGTTGAACACCTTCGACCTGTTCGCAGCAGGCCCAGTTCCAGAGATGTCTCTGATGGACCCAGAGTTCGAAGAGGTCTACATGGATGATGTTAACGGCGGCATTTTGCCAGCCGAGAAAGTGAAGGAGGCAAGACGCCTTGAGATGGACTACTTGAGAGAGAAGCATGGCGTTTATGTGCCCCGGCCGAGAGCCGAATGTTTTGAGGAAACGGGGAAGCCCCCGATTCCAGTCAGATGGTTGGACACCAACAAGGGAGATCCAACAAACCCGAACTACAGGAGCCGATTAGTTGTGCGTGAGATAAAGGCAAGAAAGACCAAAGAAGAACAATTGCCAGCCAACTTGCTTTTCAGCAGCACGCCCCCACTAGAGGCGATGAGACTGCTATGCTCGTTGTGGGCAACAAAGAGAAAGTCTTGCCACAACCAGCCGCTGAAGCTGGGCTTGTGGGACATCTCACGAGCACACTTTTATGGAACTCCGAAGAGAAAGATCTACATAGAGCTGCCGCCTGAGGACGAGGCCAGCAAAGATGGACAAACCTGTGGACTTCTCGTGAAGTCGATGTATGGGACACAGGACGCTCCAAATATCTGGCAGATGCACTACACAGAGACTCTGCAGAAGGCTGGTTTCCGCAGAGGGTTGTCAAATGCGTCAGTCTTCTACCAAGAAGCTTGGGACGTCAGAGTGATGGTGCATGGAGATGACTTCCTAGCACTTGGAGACGCCCAACACTTGGAGAAGCTCAGCCAAGTCCTCAAAGATGCCTATGAGCTGAAATGTTTCGGAATTCTTGGAGACGAGTATGGAGACCGAACAGAAGCCCATTTTCTGAATCGGTTGATCCGAGTCGAAAAGAAGAACGGTAAAGGATCGATTGTGATCGAAGCCGATCGGAGACATGTTGATCTTTTGATCCAGGCATTTGGCCTGGAAAAGGCAAATGGTGTGGAATCACCAGATGTCAAGAAGTCGGCAGATCAGCAGATGCTGGAACGCCGCAGTCCGCTGCTTGATAAGAGCGAGGCATCGAAGTATCGTTCAGCTACGATGCGTGCTGCGTATCTGTCCCAAGATCGACTCGATATTGGACACGCAGTCAAGAACCTTGCTCGAGGTATGGTGTCGCCGACAGAAGCCAAACTTGCAGACTTGAAACGTCTCATCAGGTACTTGAAGAAATACCCTGATGTTGGGCAATGTTTTGGCTCACAACAGGCACCCTCGAGGCTGAGGGTCCAGGTCGACGCTGACCACGGTGGAGATGCTGTGACACGCAAAAGCACGACTGGCATGGTTGCCATTTATGGTACACACGTGCTGAAACACGGCAGTAACATCCAATCCACCATAGCCCTTTCCACAGGCGAGAGCGAATACTACGCACTCGTGAAGGGCGGATCTGTAGGCTTAGGACTCCAAAGCCTATGCGCAGATCTTGGTTTGGATTTGGAAGTCACCATAGAAGGCGATTCCAACGCAGCCAAAGGAACTGTCAACCGAGTGGGTTTGGGTAAAGCCAGACACATCCAAACTCGTTACCTATGGTTGCAAGAAAGGGTTGCCGAAGGCCACTTGAAAGTGCACCACGTTCCAGGTGTCAAGAACAAAGCCGATGTGTTGACCAAATCGGTTCCTGGGGTGCAACTTCGCAAAACTATGGAGGACCTGCAGTATGCATTCCTCAGCAAGCGAAGCAAAGGACAGTTTGATGTTTTGGAGTAAGGTCCCTGGCCAAGCTCCACTACCACAACTGAAAGTGGCTCAGCAGCGGGAAGTTTCACATACTTTCTTTAAGCTTGCGCAGCAGTACAGTGCTTTGCAAGAGGAGGAGTGTTTGCATGTACAGCCCATAAATACTCCGCTAGAGTACTGTAGACACGTGACTCATGACGTGTTTTGGCTCAAGGTGAAAAGGCGTTCCGAAACGTCGAAACCTCGTTTTCACTCCATGGCCTCCACCCTAGTAAACCCTAGTAGCGATGTGAAACACCTCTATTTCTATTGGAACCATGGGCTTTTCGGGTTCTCTTCGAACGAGCTCGAGCTCCTCTCTCAGCTCCAGGAGCTGGCTGCACCACTGGAACTCTCCCAAGCTCCGGACCGGGCGGCCGCGGGGGGAGTGAGTTCCACGCAACGGTTCCAAGCATCGATCGTCCCGGGGGTGAACACATGGGCTATACATCCACCTAATTAGAAGCTAAGCAAGGTCGTTAGAAGCTAGCGAGGTCCCTTGCTTTTTCCCCCTGTAGCCCTTGTCTATAGGGGATATCCTTGGATCATGTTGTTGGAACACATCTTCCAGGCTTCCTTTGTTCAACACGGTCGACAGTTTTGACACTTGGAACCTTTTATAACTCCACAACATCGTGGGTGTTAGCTGTGATTGCACTTTTTTCCGACTAGTGCCATTGAGATGGGAAACCAGGATAACAGGACTCATGTTGGTTTAAGGAGTGTAGTTTCTTCTCAATTGGGATCATTGCTATCTAAGGGCGTCCCTCTCATTAAACAGCTTTCAATCCAGGGTCAACATTATAAGGAAGGAATTACACACCAACCGACGTAGCGCCTTTGATCATCGGGTACAAGAAAAGCATCAGCCAGTGTTTTGTTTATTTTTATTTACAGTTCTTGTTATTTGCTGTGTCGCTGGCATGTTGAATAGATGTCGTGGCATGGTGCAAAAGGAGCTTCCAGCCTGGCCTAGTCAAGCACTTTGCTCGTCGTGCTTGAGGTTCAGATCCATGAGCGAAGTGCTTGACTATAGGCACCAAATTTCCGCTTTTCGCTGGTACCCTTCGCTCGGTGCCTCCAGGACAGTCCGGTGCCGCCCCGACCTCCTAGCCGACCCCGCAGGGGACTTCAGATGGGTCCGGATTTGATACGCCAAAGACACTGGAAGACGACGCATTCTTGCCTTGAAGCCCCATTGCAGTTGCACCAAGAACTCTGACTGGACAAGGGTGGCAACTCGTCAAACATTCCCATGATGGATTGACTGACGAGACCTGACAAGGCTGCTTTAGAGGTGCTATTGATGCCTAGGATGATCTATATATAGACCTTTGGGCTGTGACCAGGCTCCTAGGAGTTACAGGTTCGCTTTCCATCACCAGGTTGGTGGCCAGGAGTGTAGGACACATGTTGAAGACACCTCCAAATTGCGATGTGAACCGTTCTATCATCCGGTCATCCATATGATTTTCCTACTGTATATCAATCTGTTTGGATACTTGGGAAGATCGTTGGTTCATCCTCCCACTCTTGCAAGGTACAGCACCTCGACGACCCCGAGGCAGGTGCATCGTGCGGTTTGGTAAGGCCTTGTAGCTGCCAAGAAACTACTTGGCTCAATGCCCCAAGCGCGACTCCGATTTGCAAGATTTCTTGAATCCTTCACTGAACCCTTGCAATCACAAAAGGGGCGCCCTGCTCTTGGCGGCACATCAATGCGGGAACGTTCGAGGATGCTCCCTGAGCCCAACGGACCATTGTTCGGTCAAACTGGAGGACTCCCCGTGGAGCTGGAGACAACCTTGCATGTGTTTCCTTGTTTGGACCACAAAAAGTTAAAACCTGTTTGATCACTGTTGTACTTGTGCTTTCTAGCTGCAAGTTCATACAAACAGCTGCAAAATATTGCAGTTGTGTCATTTGAATCCACACAGGATCAAATGTGCAGAATCATGTTTGGATCAAAGGAATTCACTGCGCTCAACGCGAGCTGTTAATACAGTATGCAGTGACAGCTATTGCGTGGGCGCTTTTGACTGTCCATCAATTAACAACTGACATAAAAGAGAAAAAAGCACGTTGATATTCCTTTGCCTCCGAATGACAAGACGCCCCCAGTCGCCTCCATGTTGCAAAACGGAGCCACAGAACTCCCCGGCTGAAAGTGCGCAAAGATTCGGCAAGACATAGAGGTAAGAGGGACCAAATTGGGATTTCTTAGCTTGCGTATTGGTGGCATGACTCATTCACTGATAGACTTGAACAACTTTAGTAAGACAGAGAGTTGCAAAAGAACGACTCCAAGACTCTGGGGCAGAAAAGCAGAAGTTGGAAAGGCGGGCTTGTCACCCTTATTCCAATCAACTTGGATAAGTTCAGAAGGTAGTTGAAGTGTCTCAATCGTTCTGACTGTGCAGAACGTCCAAGCTGCACTAAAAACCAGGCTTGGGTGGTTTCTTAGAGGGCAATTCTTGATCTTAGGGAAAGTGGCCAAAACTCCGACAAGCCACAGAAAGCGTTGTCCCATTTTCTAACATGCTCGAAAGCAACAGGGGTTGGTTGGGTTGGGTTGGTTCTGCATGGGTGCAATGCATTCCATAGGAAAATATAGGTTTCTTGGAAGAGAAGGAACTGAACCAGAAGTGTCCAGACAAATTCCACTCCAAATAGCAGATAACTAACCTAATTGACAGTGAACCTGAGGTTATATATGCCATAATACTTGCGATCATCTGACAGGTTTGATGTTCAAGGCTCATTGAACAACCCGCCCCGAAGGTGTTGGTCTTACCAACTGTCACCTCCTCCGGTCCGACAGGTTCAACCGACAGGTCCGCACGTCCCAAGACATCTGAAGCGCAGAAGCAGGTCCGTGGCCCGCAGGTCGTGGGAATTCGTTTGGACTGGGACACTACAGTGTCACCAATTACAGCACTCCCCCTTGCTGAAATTGCTGAAGTGAACAACCGGAGATGGAGGGCTGCGAAGACAAGCTAGTCCAGGGGATCTTGGCCGATTTGCGAACACCAGGACCTTCAGCTGCGGTCGATGGATGTCGATGGATTCTGTTGAGTCCCAGAGGTATTTTCGCGTCAGTTTGAAACTCCGCCCTATTGGTGCACAAAAGGAGGTTGTCCACTTCCATGACTTTCGGATGGCTGCATGGTATTGGAATCCATGAAACAGTTCAACGCCAGTTTCACCATGAAGCCAACTAGAGCATCTCTCGCCGTCTGGCGGGTTTAGAGAGTTTCACAGGTCGAATGGTGGGCCAAGTCATCGCTGTTCGACTCCAGTCCTCCGTCGGGACCGTTCTTCGCCCGTTGAACGGAGGCGGCGGAACTGAAGGCGAAGCAACGCGTGTCTGCATCGGCGCGGAAGAAGAAGCGTCCACCCTTGCCCATGTGGAAATCACAACCGAAAGTGGAGCCGGGGCCCAAGTTTCGCAGGTGGAAGCGGGCGGGATCTTGGAATTGGATGGAAGTTCGAGAAGCCTGGCAATGGGTCTTAGGCATCAGCATCGGCGGTGGTGACTCTTGTTTACCATCAATTTTGAGGCTGATTGAACCACCCACATGAACCGAAGGGGGAAATCCCAGCTGGATCAACTCTCAGCATCAGTCATCGTTTGGCGCGAAGACGTGCCGCAGACCACTGGACGGGAAATGTGCCAAATAAAATCCAAATAAAAATAGTTGTCATGAGTTTAACTGGTTTGTTCACTGACTACTGGCTGAGTTGAACAGCACTGGACACGGAAATTGAGTTACCCTGAGTTACCTGAGTTGATGTTTGTGTGTTTGTTCTTTCCTTGATTGTCTTTATGCGAGATGCCCTCCGACCATTTGTTGACGTTCGAACCGCACGAATATTCGAACCCAGGTGGCGCGTGGGATGCAAAGACCCCTTTGTACAAGATTGGGGTTGCACAGGGCAGCGGCAGGTTGCCCTTTTGATATTAGGAGGCCGATCATTTTCGTTTCTGGTAGGACCAGAGCAAGTCACCAGTGAAAGGCAAGCCAGTCATCGTTGACATGGCGGACATCATGGCGCCAGATGTGTGGGTTTGCCTCCGGTCCGAGACCCACATGGGTTTGTCTCAGCCAGATGAAACCTCCAAAACGGAGAACAAAAATGAACAGATGAGATCTCAGGCATCTCCCAAAACGGTCCAAACAGACAGCGCGACAGCGCCGCCGCCCATACGGCTAGGCGGTCTGAGCAAAAGAAGGAGCCAGTCTGGCTGAAAGCCAGTGTGAAGATTGGGAACCCCAGATCCGTATTGGTTTCCATTGGTCACATTGTGTCACATCAGGTTTCTCAAGTCCCAATAGACAATTGCAATAGATTTGGGGAATGAAGAATGGCACTCGTTTTCTGCAGCACCGAAAGACACACCAGCAGCAAAAATACATTCCATTCCATTCCATTCCACTACATTCCATTACCTTACCTTACCTTACCCTACCTCTTACCATAACTTACGTACATATATATATGTATGTATGTATATGTAGACATACATACATACACACACATACACATACACATACACATACATACATATACATACATATACATACACATACATACATATACATACATATACATACATATACATACATATACATACATATACATACATACATACATACATACATACATACACAGACATACACAGACATACACATACATACATATACATACAAATACATACGTATACATACAGATACATGCATATACATACATATACATACATATACATACCTATACATACATATACATACCTATACATACATATACATACATACATACATACATACATACATACATACATACATACATA